TGGATTGATAGGGGGTGACCTTGGCATCTGAAACACTGTGGGTGCTGTTGTAAGTGTCCTGGACCACCTCAGGAGACTTCTGGTTCTCTTTCTGATCCATCTACGTCGTTAGCTCTATCAAATAGCCTCTCCTCCTCTCTCATGTTTTGAAGATGACTTCAAGGCCACCTGGATCTGCATAAACTGGGTCTCCCTGTAGTGTCACCCTCCTGCTCCCCTCCCATACTCCATCACAACTTCCAATTTCACCTTCATTCCCCAAGTCTTGAGCCACTGCACCTAGTTATCACGTCACTTCCAAATCTACAAGTGAAATGTCTGCACTGTCTCCTCTCTTGCAATGTGAGGGTCACTCCTTACACTGCCGCTACATCGCTCTTTCTTTCCTGCCTGCCCAAAATAACTCCTACCCCTCTACTCTGGGTCACCTAGTATCCCAGCTCTCCACCAATTGCAAGACTATGAAGTTGTGTGGCCCCACTATCAAATCAGAGATCATACCTTATACCCTGCAATCTTCCCCCTCCAGCTTCATGGTGGCATGATGTGCAGTCTAGCTTGGAGTGGAGTGAGACCTCAACCCTAGCCAGCGGAGGGTGCTCTTCCTCCTCTCATCCTCCTTAGTTGCTCTGTATCCCTTCTTCCTCTCTGAATCTCCTTTATGATACACATGTAGTGCTTCTCCTCCTAACCTATGCCCAGGTGTAAACTTCTCATCAATCGATAGCAAAGGCTTGACCTTTTTCCTTTAGCTCTGAATCAATCCAATCTTTTGAATCTCCTTGGTTCACTGCCGTAGTGGTTTCCCTGGAGTTCTTCCTAGGAGGAAGGATGTCGTCGCCCTTGGGCCTCCCAACAGGGTGGTGGCGGAAGTGGGTAAGACACCCCTGATCTCCTGTGTGGCTCCACCCTCAGTTGCCTCCATGCCTCTGCCACTCCACTGTACCACGAGCTGTCATCGTAACTCTTGTGGAGCAAGCGCCTGATGGCTGCTCTGATTGTGGGGCTTTCAACCCCTTCATGAAATCCCTCCATAGGTCTTCTGAATCCCTCTCAATCTGCATGACAGTTAGTTCAAAGTGCTCTCTGTACTCAGTCACACTTGCCCTCCTGCACTAGGGATACAAACTGCTCATAGTGTGTACCTTCATTGGACACCCTGAATCTATGAAGTAGGAGGTCTTTTGACTCCCTCCAACCATCCTAACATTGTTGCTTTCCTAAGCCATTGAAACCAGCGCCAACGAACGGCTTACCCTCCAAAACATACGGAACCGCCATCAACTTCTCCTCTTCTGTGACGCCATTTACTGCAAAATAGCGCTCCACCCTATAGATCATCCCAAAGCATCTTCTTCCTTCAAAGATAGGAATCTTCAATTTCCTCATGCGATTGTCTATGTTGTTGAAGGCTCTTCCTTCCCCATGCCCCTTGAGCAAACCTTCCCCTTGTGGTCTTCCCCTCTGTCCCAAGGTAAGGGTTTTGAACCCCCTCACGGTGGTTCTCTGGCTCTCCATAGCCCATGCCATAGCCTTCCTTCCTCCTCCTTGGCCTACTCCATGTGCATCGTGGGTCTACATGCTCCACGTAAGTACGGTTCCCTTCGGAAATCCCTCCTAAATTACGGCACCTTCGCGTGTGTCGTGGGTGCCACGAGACCCATGTGATGGACCGGCCCCCTTGGCTCCGTTATCCCCAACGGACCGCCCCAGTCCAGACCTGTCACCCCCTTCCTTGACATTCCCTTGATGCTCTTCGACTTGTGGATAACTCCTCTCTCCTAATTTGGAAAATTAAGGGTTAGGGTTAGGGTGTGGCACGGTGATTTCCTTTTTCCTTAGCATTTGATTGAACCACTTGGGCTTCCACCAATTTCCGGATCATTTCTTTCATTCCTCCATACCTTCCTGCTAAGGATTGAAAAATATTTCCGCTCCATCGACAGAAGTTCTCGCCCACTCCTCCTTCTTTCAATGGGGCATTCCCTCCAACACTTACCTTCTTTGACGCCATGCCGATCTCAGGATTCAGTCTGTGATACAATTGCTTAACGTAGGTTTGACAATTATTCGGTTTTTGCCCTAATTTCCCCCCAAAAGAGGAAATTTCTCCATCCCAAAACCCACTAAGAAGTAACAATCACCGCAGGGTTGAGGATGCAAGAAGGCAAATAATCCTTTGCCATTAGAAGATACCAGATGAAGAAAACAATAATAGTTTGTCCACTTCGACGGCTGCGGCAAGCCGACCGGCGGTCGCAGAACTCTCCAACGTCTGCCTGAGGCAGGCCAAGACAAGATCTCCCACAAGGAAAACCCTAGAAAAGAAGCCCAATAAAGCGAGGCTAAGGAAAAATAATAATGCGAGCGAGAATACACTTTTCATAAATATTCCCACTAAACCCTAATGGCTCCCGTTCATCCACACACCATTTCTCCTCCCCAAATGCCCCACTAAGGTGGATTGGCCCCTTGGTCCAACCGGAGCGCCTCGCCTTTCTCCCCTCCGCCTGTCTAGACCCGACGGGCAGGCCGGACCGGTGATTGGTGAACCGGGTCCATCAGTTTGTTGAATATGTTGTTGATATATATATATATATATATTGGTATTGGAAGTGACATCTCATGTATTAAGGAGATTAAATGATACATTTTGGAGCTCATTTGTTACTGAAAAATTTGGGCGTCCGGTGTACTTTCTTGACATTGAGTTTATGTACAAGAAATATATTTCTCCTTCCCATAGATCAACTTGAGAAAACCGGGCTTATTGGGTACAAACTTATTGACTCTACCATTAATTCGATATGAAGTACTCAGAATGAGGAAAGCTTTAAAGATGCTCTTCATTTTCGCCGCTTGATTAATGCGTTTTTCTACTTGTCACTCAACTTGATATTTCATTTTTGAGAAAATGGCCAAAATGATCCATTGACTCTTTATAAATGATCAAAATGGTTACCAACTATATTAAATGATTATTTTGATCCTTCAAGTTAAAAAAAAATAAAAATAAAAATAGTTTCATATTGAGACTATTTCGATTCCTCTTTAAGGAGTTAAAGGAACCACAATGATCCTTTAATATTGTTGATGACTATTTTGATATTTCATAAGAGTTGAAAAGACCATTTTGGTCCTTTTGTCTTTCTTTTATTATTGGTCTACTAAGCCAACATATGCAAAGACAAAAGACGAAGTATTTGGATGTTATTTTAATGATTTTAAAATTTATTAGGAAGTGTACACGAAAATGACTTGTTTATCAAAAATACAACCGTTCATAAATTAAGACCTTTGATGCTGACTATACTAAATTTGTTGGAGACTGAACAACTGCTTTAGGATATTGTATTTTTTTGGGAGAAATTCTTATTTCATGTAGAAGTAATAAAAAAGTGAACAAATATTACTGGTTTAAGCATTGAACCCGAATAGAGTGCAATGGCACATTTCATTTGTGAAATGACGATGATAAAAAAAATCTTATTAAAGAATTAATTTCCCTGTTACTCAACCTATGATTCTTAAATGTGATAATAAGACAACATTCGTATTGTCAGCAATCTTATTTAAACAAAAGAATAATTCTTATTGAAGTTGATTGTTAATTCATCAAAGATGCCGTTTCATTAATGTTGATCATCACTTCTCATATCTCAACTGAAGAACAATCTTCATATATTTTAAGGGTATGACACCATTGTAATTCGCCAATCTCTAGAGTAATTGGGATCTTCATGATATATACACTCCAGTTTGAGAGGGATTTATTGTAGATATTTTTTTTTATGTTGGAGAGTTAGTGATTAGATTTAAACGAGAAAGGTAGGGGTAGACCTAAAAAGACTTGTTTAGAAAATATTAGGAATGACCTTTCTTTATTAGATTTAAACGAGAATTTGGCTTTTAATAGGACACAATGGAGAAAAAGGATTCATGTAGCCGACCCCACGTAGTGGGATAAAGGCTTGATGTTGTTGTTGTTGTTGTTGTTGTTGGAGAGTTAGTGATTAGAATACTCTATACTTATTATGTAATATGTTTATTGAAATGAGAAATTAGTTTTGTATCATTTATTTGTGTGCAGTATTAGTTATTTTCTTTTCTGTTGTCTATATTATTTAGAAATTAGTCAAGTTCTTTTCCTTTTAACATCCTTCAAGATCAGCCATAAATAATCTTGAGCTACGTTAAATATTAAATTTTGTCTAGGCATTATTAGATTCTAACTTTATATCGAGAAAAATTATGATAAGCCTTGATGGAAGTTCACAAAACATGGTCTTATGACATAATTTATCTAAATATAAGAAATGTACACAAGGGTATAGCAGAAACTAAACAACAATTAACAAATTTCTTCTGAATCTTCATGATCACAAGTCATGTTGTCATTTTATTTAAAATATAAATTATACTTGATAATATAGAATATTGTGAATATGTATGAGGGAAAAATGGAGGTCAAATAAAAGATGGTAGAGTAATTGTGGAAAAATATGGAGAGGATGGAAGGTAGGTCGTCTATGGGGCGATTTGGAGGTGCAAATGATACTAACTTTGTTAAGAGGGGATGTAAGTAATAGGATCTTTAAACCATGTTTGGCAAGGATATCTGTGTTCGGATGGGGTTATGAGGTGCTGCTTCTTAGATTTGTGGAGGAGATGAGTGCACTGCGGCATGGGAGAAACTTAGAGAAGCTTCTTGGATACATTGAGCAGTATGCGCACTGGTGCATCGAGGAAACTGATTGGAAGAAGAGTGTCCAGTGGAGGACGGGAGGCTGCTAGACAAATTTAGAGGCAACTTAGAAGATTGCTATGAATCCTAACATGTCTCCGAAGTCTGAGCAACTGCAGGTTTATATATTAGTTAGGAATTTGACAAAAACAAGAAGGTGTACTCTTCTATCGTATTAATGAAGTGTGCTTGTCAGTTCTTAGTGGTCTTTATTTATTGATGCACATTTAATGTAGTTTCTATGTCCTATGAACAGATAATCTGGTGGAGGATCTTTTGGGGGATTTTGAGTACGAAGTCCAAATCCCATATTTGTTGTACAGGAATGCTTCCCAAGAAGTTAATGGAATATGGTTTTACAATTCACATGATTGTGAAGCTATTGCAAGTCTTTTCAACAGGTATTAACTATTATCATTTGTGAAGTAATTCGCTTTCATACAAATTATTCTGGAAAAAATGAAGCAAAACATGTGCTTCATTTTCTTTTTGTGAATTTTTGCTTGTGTGAAATTAACAAAAACTTAGTCTTGCTTGCCAATGAAGATGACATTCTTTCTATGGTATACTGACCTAAACTATAGTTTTTCTCAACCTCAAATTCAACTTAGAATGGATTTTACTGAATGTAATGAAAATTAGAAGTCCTATATGGATAGCCTAAATTTTTTGTTTTTACTCAAAAAGATTTTTGCTCTGAAGATAATCTTCTTATTGAAATTAGCAAATCTCATCGTACATCATCCTTGACTTAACTAGAGAATTTTTATTCGCCTTTTTTAGCAATCTTTTACTTATCATCTTTCAAATTCCAACCTTTTGTCCTTCTATTTTGATTTGTTTTCATCTCCTTTATTCTAAAAAATATACATCTATATTCACTGTTTTATGTTGCATGCTTAAACTTTCCTCTAGAGTCATATTATACTCATTGCAAAAAGTTTTTTTCCTAGTTAAAAAAACTCTATTTGTGATTTAGTTGTTCCACATTTGAAATTAACTAATTACTCTTCTCACTTCTTAAAGTAATTGTTTACAGCCACAAGATCATATATGCTATTACAAAGTCAATTATAGCTTCTCTATCAAAGCTTTATCTCCTATTAAAATCCTACCTTGAATCCTCTCATAAATTATTCTAGAGAACCTATATGTCCATCTAAGTCATCTCCAATGATTATTCTCTCTTCCTCAAAAATATACTTTATTAGTTTATTCTCCTCTTTTGTAATTGATTTTTCAAATTGCATTTTAATTCATTTCGAGGAATATAGTCACTAACTACATTTATGATTTTCTCGCTACATATTAAATTAATGGTGATCACCCTATCACAAATTGTATCAATCTTTATAATTTTATTTTTTTAACTCACTATTCACTACTTTCTTTACATCTTTTTTTTCTTAAACCTTTCTAACCTACAATAACTTATCCCTTTCTTCTTTGTTTCTTACAAACATGCATTATTAATTCTTCAATTGATCATGCATCCTTTAATTCTCTCGATGTCACCTTCAAAGTCCCTAGATTTCGTATCACAAACCTAATGTTAATTTAGATATATTTAGTCATTTAACATTTTTTACCACAATTGAGTTAAGTTGTGCCTCATCGCTTATCGGTGATATTCTTGCAAACTTTCATCAATTTCTCTCAACAACTGAGTTCTGTTGTGATGCACCACTTATTGGTTTTATTTTAGCAAAATCCTGACTATTTCTCAGCACAATCATGTTAGCTTGTGGCATGCTTCGGGGGAATATTCTATTACTAGAATAATTCAAATTTGGATTTATTTTCAGAATAAGGTTTTGCAATTGGCTATTGAGCTGACATATTGTTTCTCATTTGTGATTGGGATCAAGAACAATAATTTTACTTCAATGTATGGAGCATAAATACTGAAAAATTATGTCATAAGCATGTTGGAAGAGACATTGAAAAAAAAAAAAAACTAGTTAGAAAAGAATGAGATAATTGATAAATTTAAAATAATAATAGTGACCGGCCATATTTATCCAGCATCAAACATGCCAGAATTGTGTTGGTTGCATATTGTTTAATTTTCATTGCATACATCAAAAGCTGTTTCCTACATGTATTGGCCGATCAATCCTTTTTTAGTATAATCAATGCATTTTGCTGCATATGACATTTCAGATATGGAGGTTGACCTGAGACGACAACAAAAGCATATATTGCTATCAGATGGGGGCCGTGAAAGAAGACATTTTTTTAATAGCAATATACTTCTCTGTTTTGGTTTTAGTGGAAAGTTGTTATTAACATTGCCTGGAGATGGAGATCATTATTAGACATTTTTTAGATGGATTTGGTTTCATACAGTGGCAGAAACTAGCATATTTTATGTCAGAGGTAGTACTAGATTTGATTTCACTTGGAAATTGTTAACCTGAAGTAGTAACACATTCTGGCAGTCACTTAAAAAGTAGTATTAGTACTATTTTTCTTATAAGTTGAGATTCAATTTTGCATGTTTTTAGCAGTTTTTGAGGTATTAGGTAGATAATTCAATACTGATACAACATACTGTAAACCATAGTGTTTCATTCATGACGCCAAAATATTGAAATTCTAGCACTTTATTGTGGTCGTTTTGGCCTTGAATGAAAGTTATTGTAGGATATTGTTTTCTACATTTTTCTATTTATGTTGTCATAACTAAGAAAATTTAGATGTCTTTGATGATACTGATTTTATCCAAATTTAATTATTCCATTAGATGAACTACTTAATGTTTTTAGCTTATAAGATATGCTTTTCCATGGTATGTTGCTTCAATTTAAACTTCATTTCATAATTGTAAGATAGGCATTGTTTCTATCTCATAGTTCATAATTCGATACATCTGTATGATTTGATTTTATTTTATAATCTCTTGCATTATCTTATACCCCATATAAAAAATTCCGCCAATTAGGGGCACTTACAAAATATGATTGAATAATTGGATGAAAATGTAAAACAACTTGTCTGTAATATGAGCTTGTTAGGATTTCCTAGTTGCCTATGGTGTGTGGACATTTATTGATGTATGAGAATGTAGAATTCTTAAAAAAAAAAAAAATACCAGAGGGATATCTCTTTATGACCTTTTTAAAGGCCATTCTTCAAAACCCTTTTTAGTTTAACAGAAATATTGTTTGCTAAAATACTATTGAATGGAGTTTAATTTAAATTTTTTTGGCTTAAAGCATTGAAATGTGCAAGCTCAGAATTACGTTTCTCTTTGTAATTTCCTTGAAGAAAATCTGTTGTTAAAACTAGAGATTTGAGAGAGAAAGCATACATTTATTCAGTAATATCTTCCCTATTTATAGATCTATACAAGATATCTTAATGAGGAAACAATAAATTATAGATTTAATACTTAAAATTCCCAATAAAATCTTTCCTAAATTAGTTCCTTCATTATGGCGTGATCCATGAGAGCTTCCCACGGATTGATCTCTGTGTCTGTCTGATCCTTTGTATTGGGAACGGCTGGATTACAACACTTTCCCTCAAACTGGGAAATGTGAATTTGTCATTCCCAGGTTGTCAATCATTCTGAGAAAGGCAGAACTGTCTAATCCTTTGGTAAGGATATTTGCAAGTTGATCCTTTGATGATACATGTTCGACACTTACTAGACCACTGTCTAGTTTTTCTTTAATGAAATGTCTGTCCACTTCAATGTGTTTGGTCCTGTCATGCTGGACTGGATTGTGGGCTATGCTGATTTGTTGACACAATATAGCTTCATGGGCTCATCCCACTTAACCTTTAAGTCTTCTAGGATTATTTTAATCCATAGTAGCTCACATATTCCCAAGGGCATAGCTCGATATTCTGCTTCTACACTGGACTTTGCCACCCCATTATGTTTCTTGCTTCTCCATGTAACTAGGTTACCTCCAAGAAATGTGCAGTATCCAGAGGTAGATCTTCTGTCAATAGGTGATCCCGCATAGTCAACATCCGTGTATACTTCTAGGGTTATTCTGCGATCTCTCTTGAAGATAATCCCTTTTTCTGGGTTTTCTTTGAGGTAGTGCAATATCCTTTCTACTGCTTGCATGTGAACCTGCTTTGGATTCTGCATAAATTGACTGACCATGCTAACAACAAATGCTATATTTGGTCTAGTGTGGGAAAGGTAGATCAATTTTCCTACAAGTCTTTGGTAGCCCCCGTTATCCACATCTGGATCCTCTATAGCTTCCCCAAGTTTAAGATTAGGTTCTACTGGTGTCGGTGCTGGTTTACAAGCTACCTGTTTCTTTCAAGAGATCTTTGATATATTTCAGTTGTGAAATAAATAATTCTTTGCTGGAGTGAGCTACTTCAATTACGAGAAAGTATTTTAGTCTACCAAGTTTTTTGATGTCAAATTCCTTAGTATGACTTTTTCTTAAACTAACTTTCTCCTCTTCGTTATTTCCAGTCAATATAATATCATCAACATATACCAATAATATTGTGACTCCCCCGACTTTAAATGTTTTAAAAAATAATGTATGATCCCCTTGACTATGTCGGTACCTATTAAGGAGCATGAATTTACAGAACCTTCCAAACCAGGCTCTTGGTGATTGTTTGAGCCCATATAGAGCCTTTTTTAGTCTACACACTCTGTTTCCTTCATCATTTTCCTTAAACATTGGTAGTATTTCCATAAATATCTCTTCTTCCAAATCCCCATGCAGGAATACATTTTTTCACATCCAATTGCTCCAGATGTCAGTTGTACTTGGCTGCTAGTGAGAGTAGTATTCTGACCGTGTTCATCTTGGCTACGGGTGCAAAAGTTTCTTTGTAGTCAATGCCATATGTTTGTGTGTACTCTTTTGCCACCAGTCTTGCTTTGTATCTTTCAAGTGTGCCATTAGCTTTGTATTTTACTGAGAACACCCATTTGCAGCAAACCGATTTTTTCCCTATTGGTAGATTGACAATCTCCAATATATTACTTTTCTAGGGCCCGCATTTCATCTCTCATGGCATTTTTCCAATTTTTATCAGATAATACTTTAGAAATATCTTTAGGAATTTGGATATCTTCTATTATAACCAGGAAATTTTTGTGTGAGGTTGAGAAATTGTTGAAGGATATAGAGTTGGTTATAGGGTATAAGGGAGGTTGTGAGCTTACCTTATTTTTAGGAGATGGTTTAGATTCTTGGATTTGCTTTGGAGCACAAATTGAGCTTGTATGCTTAGAATAAACCTTCCCAAATCTGATGATAGCTTTGTCATTGTTTTCCCTATCATGGGTTTCATGTGGATTGGTTTGAGGTGGAAGGTCAAGAGGTGCTAGTTCATTTTTCTCATCTTCCTCAAGTTCAGTCTCCCCAGAAGATGAGATTTTAAAAAATAGGAATTTTCTTCATCAATA